AAAGGGGGGGGGGGCCCAAAAGGGGGTTGGCAATTTTGGGCCAAAAAAAAATTTGGGCCCCTTTTTTTTTCCAAAGTTCCCCATAAAAATTCTTTCCAAAATTCAACTTTTTTTTTTTTGAAAAAGAGAGGGGGGGTTTTTTCGGCTTAACCCGGGGGGTGAAATAAAAAAAAAAAAAAAAAAAAAAAAAAAAAAAAACAACCAGATGAACTATATTTTACCTTATGTGAAAGGAGATTATTGGCCCACATCATTTTTATAAAAAAATAATTTAAAAGTTAATATTATTTAAATTTAGATTGTAAAATAAATGAATAAATAATTATATACATTATTTAAACAATCAAAAAATAAACATCAATCAAATTCAACATATTCCTTGTAAAAAATAAAGTAAAAAATTCAAATCCAAACCCTATGGTTTAATTGAACCAAACACATAAAAGAGAACAAAAGAACAATTAGATAATGATTAACCCCCAAAAAAAATATTCTAGTAATTGTTATCTCCTTATCAAGTTGTTTAATGTTGACAAAAGGCTGAAATTGTTGGGATCGAAACCCCTCAGTGGCGGTTTTGATTTGACGAGAGAGATATGAAAGGGATTATGAGTGGTAGACATCGTCTTCCACGACCAAATGCATCTGAAAGTTGCAGCGGCGGAGGCGAAATCAATAGAGAAGAGACAGAAACTTGTTAATCTCCCCAACCAAACGAGGCCTAAGATCTAGTTTGGTTGCTAAGATAGGATCAACCAAGATAAGATTAAATAATTAATAAAAACCTAACTATTTTCTCGGACATCGGCACGTCCAACAAAAGTACTCCTTAAAAAATATATAAGACAAGAAAAACCATGATAATATAATATTTCCGAGTCGACCAGACAGTTGGTTATTGGGTTACTAATCTCGCCAACCAAAAGAGGTCTAAAGTGTTTCCTTTTTAAGGTATTACTTTTAGATGAAATTTTAGTGAAGTGTTGATATTAAATTGATGGCTTTTGTTGTTAACAGCATGTTTGGCTGAGGGAAAATTGCAAATCCAAGTGAGAACACTCTAAATTTGTTGAAACAGTTAAGGAAGCTTTAAATGCGTTCGCCCAGTATGGATTGAGCGAATCAAACTGATCAACTTGTTATTGTTTCTTGGCCTAAAAAAAGCAATAGTATTTTTAGTTTTGGGGGGAGTTTACAATGTTTTTCCTTAATTCTCCTCGGTCCAAAATTCATGAACTTATCAAGTTTCAGTTTTGTAGATACTACATCTCGTGAAATATATTGGCTGACCTTAAACAATTGAATCTACGCATATCGACGCACACATTCATGTGTATGTGTATTCAGTGCGTAGTTATTTATATAAATCTACCGATCAAAACCACCCGATGTGTTACACTCATAGACCAAAAAGTTTCAAAACTCCAACAGGAAATACTCTATAGTTGTAATTTTACATGCAACATATGCATAACCAAGAATCCCAACAATACCATATCTTTTAAAGTGTATTATTTACGTGCTCCTATCTCATTGATTAGCCATCTAATCCATATCATAAATACTTAATATTTTCTGTTCTGTGCTTAGTAACTTAATTTACCGCCAAATATTTCCTATACCATCCTTTCCGGAATTAATTATCACAAAACCTATTATTTTAAAAATAATAAAAACCCCATTCACCATCACTCAAATAAAATCTCTCAATATTAGATCCATTTGAATTCCAAACACTAATGGAGACGCCAAATGTATATATATACTCACGCCATACAAACAACTACCAAACTATATGCTTTTCCACCCCACAAAAAAAAAAACAGTTAATTAATTAATCCATAACCAACTTAACCGAATAGTAATTAATTATGATAAATCACCTAATTTTCCAAGCAGAAGTAGCAATAAGTGGCCTTGTATGCCACCCCAACATCAAACACCCATTGTTCTCCTCCACCACATACCCACCCCCACCCGCAAACAATGCCAACAACATACTCGCTTGCTTATACGCATTTGAGCCCAAATGCACCGGCCCGAACCCGGCCCACCCCAAACGGGCCCTCCACTGCCCCAACGTCTCGTGCCTCTCCACCCTCTCCACACCCTCGCACGCCACCACATTGCATATTTGCCGCCCCAAGTAAACCTCACTCATCACCTTATCTTGATCGCTCACCGCCCCATCACCGCCGCCACCACCGCAACTCTCCAGAGAATCGTAGAGGGTCGAGTAATAATGCAAGGACTCGTTGAACCGGTCCAAGAAAACCGCCCCGTTGTGATTCGCCTCTTGTTCGACAACCGTCAGAATCGCGGGCTTCAATTCCCTCACGAATTTCAACACCTTCTCGATTGCCCCCGTTTTCGCTAGCAATTGATGCAGCTCGAATATCGAATTCACTGCCACCGCTTCGCCTTCCTTTACATCGAACATCGATGCGTCGAGATCGGCCAACGAGTTTGCCACGACCCCCTTGTATTCGAACTCTATGTTGATCGTTTGGGCCAATTGAGCCAACTTATATCCCACTTCATTCAAATGATCGTGGGAGGAGGGGCCGACCCCCGTCAGACGGAAGCGAGGTGGGCCCCCCGGCCTCAATGCCAGGGCTTGTAGAAGGGCCGGCCACTGCATACCCTGTTTGATGCCGAGATCGATGACGTGGACTCGGTTTTGACCCGCGAAAGCTTCGAGGATCGCTTGGTTTGCGGTGAAGTGGGCGAATTTCAGGTACGGGCAGGTCTCGTAAAAGTGGGTTTCGAGCAAATCGGTGAAGGCGGATTCCTGTGGATTCGTCGGGTACAATCTGTAAATTCTCCGAGCTAACGCTTCGGCGAAATACGTAGCTACTTTTCTCATCGAACCGGGTTGCGAAACGGCCAACGATCCGATTTTCTTCACCAGAGCTTCAGCCAATTTGAAGTTCTCCTTCTGTACGGCCTCTGCGCAGGCCATCAAAGTGTGGACGAGCCTCACGCCGTTTTCTTGAGAGTCAACCAGGACGAGTGACCGAGTCGACTCAGCGGGTCGAGCGAAAACCGGTTCGGTGTTCGTACTCGCGGCGGGGTTAACTGAATACGGCGACGTTTTCAGTTTCTTGGCCTGTGGCTGGTGGTGGTGCTGCTGCGGCGGCGGAGGGGGTTGGGTTATGGGGTAGACGGCTTTTCCGGGGATGGAAATAAGATCCGACCCGAAATCGGAGTCAACCACCATCTGAGCGGCGAGGCTGCCGCCGCCGTTGTCGGCGGTGGTGATGGTGGAAGAATCGAGAAAGGGATCTGAAGAGGAGCCGAATTCGGGGACCGGGTTGAGACCGGAGATCATGGAATCGAGCCAGGACGAGAGATCCGAAGGGTTGTAGTGGACGGTGTCGGAAGCGAGCTGAGAGAGGCCGCCGCCGCCCATCGCTTCCTCCAACTGTTTGATCTTCAGCGCCACCTCCGCCATGTCAGAGGTGTTCACCTTGTAGCCCAGAACGGCAAAGAGCTCGTCAAATCCGGCGGAATCTTCGGCCTCAGACGACCACATCTTAGCTTTGCCGGCCGATGAGCTGCAGCTGCCGCTGCTCGAGAAATTTTCTTCATTCATATGGTCCCTTTTCATTCTTTTCTTGAATTTGAGGGGTTGATCGGATTTTAAGATGAGGTTTTTGTTAGCTGCGAGTTTTTCACAGATTGCTATTGGAGAGTCGACTACAATAATAGTGCAGGTACGAACTACGAATAGTAGAGAGAGAGAGAGAGAGAGGAGAGAGAGAAAGGCACTGTAGACAAAGAAATGAAGTAGATAAGATGAAACTTTGCCTTTTATTTCCCTTAATTACCAGTAATAATTTATTACAACTTTGAGCTAATATTATCTAAATTTCGTACTCTTACCTAACATTGCCATTTCATCCCAATTAACTTAACTTAAGCAGTAACATACACTATCATGGCACTTTATCAAGAAAAAGCAAAAGAAAAAGAAAAGGCATCTGGTATTTTCGAAAAATTTATTTCATATTCCTCTCAATTTCACTTGATAGTAATGTTTTTCGTCTCAAAATGCGAATATTAGCAAAACCACATCAAACTAGCCGAAATATGTTTTCTTCAAGGCGGCGGTTATATGCAAACCCATTTTTTTATTACTTCAAAACCACATAAAGGAGTTTATTAGTTAAAGTTCGTAAATTAATCTAATTTTATTTCATCAAGACCAAAGATGACAAATATACCCTTATCCACAAATAATACTCAATTACAAATAAATCCTATTTTTAATTTGTTTAAGACCAAAAATCAAAAAAAAAAAACAAAAACAAAAAAATATCACGACTGCTGCCGCCAGACCGATGCGACGCCGACCGGCGAGTCCTTTTTACTAAATTTTTGTTTGTAAATTCAAAAACATTAATCGAGCATCGATGTCCTTTTTACTAAATTTTTATTTGTAAACTCGGAAACATTAATCGAACATCGATTCTTGATAAATATGTATGAATGAACATTAATCTATGCTTATTTCTTGTTGGGTTGCAATGATTTGGCCGATTTTGGAAAACAAATTGAGATTGAAATTGTTTTTTTTTTTTTCGTTGATTTCCCAAATCATTTTACCCAGACCGATTTTGTACACGAAAATCGGCATCATAATGCCGATTTTTGTTAACCAAATCGGCGACACAACGTCGACTTTACAAGTAAAAATCGGCGTTCTAATGTCGATTATTGAGTACAAAATCGGTTTTCGGATACCGATATTTTTCGGATTTTTTTTAAATAATACATTATATATTTGGTTAATTGATATTTTTTAAATATTTGAAACGAAAATGTTTATCACCATTCGGTGGGTCTACCAACTCCTTTAACCCAACCGAGTAGAGTTTTCCGTGTCTCAAATATTTATTCGTTAGATAATTCATTTGAATAGTCTTCTATCAATCCCCTAGGTTGTTGCACGAAAGTATGAGAAAACGGTCTTAAAAAAACACAGATAATAACATCGGTACTTAAAAATCGATTTTTGTAGTACAAGTCGGCATGACAATACCGATAATACAAAAATAAACCGGTGTTGTCATGCCGATTTTTACTACAAAAATCAGTTTTGAAGTACCGATTTTTATTAAAATAATCGGAATGTGGTTACCGACTTTAGTAACAAAAATCGGTATTTGCAGACCGATTTTTTGTATCGTCGAGTTTTTTTCCCAACAAAAAAAAAACGACCCAAAAGCAAAAATAAACGGTTAAAACATACTTCATTGTGTTCTCCATCCTCGTAAACTACCATATCATTGTTTCTGGTTCCATCGTGAATGTTTGGTATGTATTTGATAATTTTGGTGTGTAGGATTTCTTGGTGGGTTTGTGAAGAAGAAGGAGAAGAAGAAGGAGGAGATTTTTAAGTCGTGAAATAAGGAAGAGGGGTTTCTGGATTTATCTATTTTATTTGGACTTGCACAAAGGAAATGATTTTTTTTATTTTTTAATGTTTTGTGTTTTTTACTTGATTTTAAATTTTATTAAGGGTAAATTAGTATTTTTATGTTGGAGGTCTTGAAGTAATAAAAAAATGGGCTTGCATATAACCGCCGCCTTTCTTCAATTCCTTATGGGATGTGATAATTAATGTCGTTCGAGCTTTACTAATACCTTCAAACGTGATTTTGATTATTTTTATTTCCAAATTTTGCGAAATCCGAAAATTAGGATTTGTAGTATTCTGACTTAATTTTCTAATTCAACTTGAATCATCAAAATTGGATGTCGGACGAAAAAGATATACATGAATCAATGGATACTGCCCGCGACATTAATGTATTGAGGTATTTAAAATTTAAAATGTGACTCATTCATGCATAACTTTGTCACACGACATCCAATCTAGTGGATTTAAGTTGGGCTAGAAAGCTAACACAAATGACTACAATTTTTGTGTTCGAATTTTGTCAAAATCAAAACAGAAATATGTCAAAATCAGGTTCGAAGTCAAAACGACATTAGTAAAATTGAAACGACGCGACATTTAACATTTCAGATTCCTCATTATTTAATGAATTTTGATTATTTAATATTACATATGTTCCACAATAATTGTCTATTTTTTAAAATATTTTCATATTATTTGTTACTTTATATTTCCAATGCTGCATTGAATACATTTTTCCTGATTTAACCTTATTAATGCAACTCTAAGCATTAATTTTCTCTTATAAATCATTAAATGATAAATGTTGTTTTAGTCATTTTTATATGATTTTTCTATAATCGAGCTACATCTATTAAATTTCTTAATCATTGTGAGAAATGAGATACTTATTATTACATTGGATAAACACAAAGGATTTCAACTGAATTTTATATCGAAAATTGTTGCAGGAACCAAACTAAGCTACTTCTTAAATTGATTTTTGGTCCTTAGGCCATCTCCAGCAATTTATCTAAAAGCAATTGTCTATATTTATAATATAATTAATGAACAGTGTTTTAGACCTTCATTTTTAACACTGACTCCAACATTATTGTTTATATTTTACACAATTATTATATTCAATTATTTGTTATTAAATATTTTCTACGTGATATTCAATTATTATAAGATATTAATAAAAGGGCATGCTACAAATAAGCCCATAATGAGATATTTATTCATAAATGAATTCTGACAAATAACTCTTTACAAAAAAGTCCACACATTGTTCAGAGGTGTGTAAAAGACTAAAATGGGCCCTCACATTTTAATATGCACAAATTTCATCCTTTAATTTAATTACCCTCAATTTGACCTCAAATTTCACAACTTATTCAATTTTGATCCAAAATGCAATTTTGAGTATAATTTCGCCCGTTGCCGCTGTTGACCGGTTCACTTTTTTTTTGTTCTTTTTTCTTCCTGATTTTCCGTTGGACTCCAGCATTGACTTTTTCGTTTTCTTCTTCTTTTTTTTTTTCTTTGTTAATTTTTTTTCTTTATCATTTGTTTGCCCCATTTAAACAGCAATATGGTTGTGGTTGACAATCATATGAACTATATTACAGTTTACACAGTAATATTAAATATACTACAGTTTAACACAATAATATTGTTATAGTAATCTCTAGCACGTTAATAGTAACACAAAAGACATTATTATTGTGTAATAGATTAATATTAATATGTTGACCGTTCGACAAAGGTAAACATAATAAAAAGTCAAAAGAATTTATATTGATGTGTTTGAGAGTAATATTAATGTCATCCACAATAATATTATTGTAACAACAGTAATATTACCATCAACTACAGTAATATTATTGTGTTTACAGTAATGTTATTATGTTTACAGTAATATTATAATAGTAGGCAGTAATATTATTACGTTAATCCGTCAACAACTCAAACAAAACAAAAAAGCCAAAAAAAAAAATAATAATATTGTCGTTGACTGTAATTGTACTGCCAACAACAGTACAATTAAATAAATTTACTGTCAACGACAGTACAATTATGTTAATGTACTGTCAACGACAGTATAATTACAGTCAGCGACAGAATAATTAGTGTTAATGACAATAAAATTACGGTCAACGTTAAGTGGCGTGCGTAAAAGAAACATATCAAAAGTTTAGGGAAAAAAAACACGGAAAAAAGTCAACGACCGAGATCGGCGGCGGTTAGATAGAAAAAAATAATAAATAAAATAAAATGAAAAAGTCAACGCCGGTCAACGCGGGAAACCGGCGGCAGCAAAGCATTTCAGAAAAAAAAAAAGGTGGGGTTACAATTAAGAATTGGGTGTAAAGGATTTGGGGTAATTTTGTCATATACATTAATACATATAAAAAAGATGTACTTATTAACTCCTGAACTCAGAATAATAAAGATAGTTGGTCGTGAACTTATACACAAAAACCCCTTAATAAAAATGTGTATTATTCTAAACACTATATTTATACGTTGAATCTTTAATAATTTTTGTTTTACACAATTATTTGACTTTTATTTTAGTTAATATACTAATAACTAATAAGATTAATTAATAAGTATACAAAATTAATTAAAAATTTGATGAAATAAATTTCAATAACTTAATTGATATATATTAATAAACATTAAAAATTTATAATACGTTATGAAATATTTTTTGATGTTAATTAAAATGACATTTTTTTAATTTTAGTTATTATTAATACTAAGTAAAATAATAAATTTTATTTTTAGTACATTTATTTGCAAAATAACAAGTAAGACAATATAAAATATTTTTTAATGATAAATATATTATAAAATACAATATAACATTATTTTAATATTTTATAGATTTGCTAAATTGTAGTTTTGGCTTCTCAAATATGAGAAACCAAAGTTACTATTTAGCCAATTTGTTAATTATGCATTTTATTCTCGGTTGTGCATATTGTTTAAAATATATGTTTACATTACACTCTTGGAGATGCTCTTGGGCGAAAGTTCAATACGTAGAAATCAAAATACTCTTCACGTACTTGATATTTGGCTCTCATCCAATTCTCAACATGCTTAGTTCAAAATTGTTAGGTTCATTAAATAAAATTCATCTGGAATCCATCGGTGTTTATGTTTGAGTCAAATCGACGGCGAAATCATCGTAATCAAACTTCCAATTGAAACGTATAAATTTCCTGTAAAAATATTCATTGGAATACATTTAATTTCATTAGAATTTAGATCTATTGTTGGTGATGTGTCGAATTCCTAACTGGATTTTTTCCCATAAAACCTAAATCAATCTAATTAATAATAAAAACTCAATTATCACCTCTAC